TTTTTAAATGCAAGCTATTGTGACACCAGATATGAGTGAGTGGTGGCACTGGGCACTGTGAGCTTTATACACCCGCTTTAAGGACACTGACTGCTATTCAATCTATAACAGTGAAAAAAGTTTTTTGTTTTTTTAAATCCAAGCTATTGTGACACCAGATCTAATTAGTGGAACTGGTCAGCGCATCCACTGTTAGCGTAACACACCCGCTTTAAGGACACTGACTGCTATTCAATCTATAACAGTGAAAAAAGTGTTTTGTTTTTTTAAATCCAAGCTTTGTGTCACCAGATCTAATTGGTGGCACTGGTCAGCGTATCCACTGTTAGCGTAACACACCCGCTTTAAGGACACTAACTGCTATTCAATCTATAACAGTGAAAAAAGAGTTTTGTTTTTTTAAATCCAAGCCATTGTGACACCAGATCTAATTAGTGGCACTGGTCAGCGTATCCACTGTTAGCGTAACACACCCGCTTTAAGGACACTGACTGCTATTCAATCTATAACAGTAAAAAAAGTTTTTTGTTTTTAAATCCAAGCTATAGTGACACCAGATGTAATTGGTGGCACTGACTGGGGAAATGGGCACAGTATGCACTGTGAGCCTGACACAGAAGCTGGCAGCAGTGGCAGACAACCGACTGCTATTCAATCTATAACAGTGAAAAAAGTTTTTTGTTTTTAAATCCAAGCTATTGTGACACCAGATGTAATTGGTGGCACTGACTGGGGAAATGGGCACTGTGAGCCTGACACAGAAGCTGGCAGCAGTGGCAGACAACTAAGTGCATTTACATTACATAGAAAAATAAAATTAAAAAAAGCATACCCTTATCCCTAACCTAGCTATGCTTTTCCCTATCTTATTAACAGCAGCTACACTTTCCCTCCTCTTACTAAGCATGCAGCTTGAGAATGAATCTAAAATGGATGCTGTCCAGTAGGTGGGAGGGTCTGCTAGGGAGGCTGTGCTGCTAATTGGCTGGAATGTGTCTGCTGACTGTGAGGTACAGGGTCAAAGTTTACTCAATGATGACGAATAGGGGGCGGGTCGAACCGCGCATATGTTCGCCCGCCGTGGCGAACGCGAACATGCTATGTTCGTCAGGAACCGTTCGCCGGCGAACCGTTCGGTACATCACTATCAGAGAACAGTGAAATAGAAACCAATTGGTTGAAGTGTATAATCAACAGGTGATAAAATCTGGGTATAATAGTCACAATTGCAGTATGTAATAGTAAAAAAAAGGAGTCCGTCCAAATGTTCAATAAAAATCAAGTGGTAAAAAAAATGATAATAGAAAATATATTCAATAAAATCAATAGGAACAGTCTCACTGGTATATCGATAGGGTATGAGTACAATCCTCAGGAGTTGATCCGTCCGGGTTGTAGATAATCCGTATATGTGGAGATAAAAGAAAACACAGAAAAACTGCCAATAGTGAAATATTGTAGATCCAAGGGTGGAAGATAAGTCAAAAGCAGGATTGTACACTCACATTTGGTGGAGCTAGGGTCAGCTCTTGAGTGAAGGGCACTTAGTGGTATAATCCCCACTACAGGATATGCTGGAAGGGTAGGTCCGTCTGTCCAGCTTGGGTTCCGTCGTATTCCACAAGATATATAAAACAGCAAATAGTGCTCTCAGTAGGAACAATAAAATAAGTAAAAATAAAATAAAATATACTCACAAGAATAGAGCAGACAGATACTGCTCTATTACCACAGCGCTGGTGGAATTATCCCCACCTAAGGATTTCTTGAGACGGGATGCGATTAAAATTAATTATAATCCATAAAAAAAAAATGAAGATAAAAATGCCAGGAATAATAGTAGTAAAAGTGTATATAAAATACAATAAAGTCCATAAAGGATTGGTCCTATGAGAAAGGTAACCAAAAATAACTTTTATTGATTTAAAACCATTGACGCGCTTCACCTATGAGGCTTTTTCAAAATGGTAATAGAACAATATACCTGACATGAAACAGTATTTATAGGGGTACACAGTGGTTAAAATTGGCGCCAAAATCTGTTACACCAATTACAGACAAGCATTAAATTTTTTTTTAAAACAGACTTAAAACTGATTAAAAACTATTTTGTTACATAGATAAGGCTTATATTAGTCATAAAATATATTTCCCTATGCAAAACGAAGCTTTAATAACTTTATTAATTTCAACTTGCATAGTCACGTGATCGGGACTTAGGGAGTTGCGATACACATGTGCGAGCGAATAGTGGGCAGGTCGCTCGGGCGCATAGCCCAACCCACAGCACTACGTGACCGGCATGAAGGAGCAATGCTCCTTGGGAAATGTAGTCATGCCGGCCACTGTGTGCATAAGGAAGGTGGCGAGCGAGCTGACTCTAAATACCTTGAGTCAGCTGCTCCCACTGACAACAATTGGGACATAAAAGAAGAAGAGGGGGGGACCATAAAACTAAAGGGAAGCAGCCTAAATATAGATGCCATACATAAATTAATAGTATTAGTATACATGAATGTGAATGGATAAAAATGCATAAATATTAAATATACATAAATGTAAATTGAACATAGAAGGTAAAATACATAGATATTAATAAAAAATGATATTAGTAATATGATATTAAGAGACATATTAAATGAGATAACATATTAAGAACAGACAATAATCATTTATAAAAAAATATGTAGTTCAAAATCTGCATTTAGACCTTGAAATGCAAGGGTCTGTAACCTATAGACCCATTCCATTTCTGTTCTTCCTAAAATATTTTTTATGTCACCTCCTCTCCAGGGTAGGGTGCATTTTTTTAATACCCATACATTTTAGCATATTTGGATCTTTGTTATGGATTAAAAAATGTTTTGATACAGAATGGTTTAAGTATCCGTTTTTTATATTCCTACAATGTTCGCTTAGTCTAGTTTTTAAACATCTTGTGGTCATCCCAACATATTGGAAGCCACAAGGGCATTCCAATAAATAAATCACATTTTTAGTATTACAGCTTATAAATTCTTTTATTTTAAAAATAGTTTTAGTCCTGTTTGAGGTGAATTCTGTCATTTTAGATGGCATTGTAGAATCAGTAGTTTTGTATACGATACAAGTTTTGCATTTATAAAATCCTATAGATTGGGGAAAAAAAGAATGTATTTTTAGGCGGGATTATTTTAGTGAAATTTGTGGTTAAAATCGATTTAAAATTAGGGGCTCCTCTAAAAATTATACTTGGCTTTTCTGGAATAATTTTACTAAGTTTTTCATCGTGTTGTAAAATATGCCAATGTTTTTTAATAATCTTTTTTATTTCTCTACTTTTATTGTTATAGTTAAAAGTAATAGGGAGGAGTATGGAATCATTTTTAGTTTTATATTTATATATTAAAAGTTCATCTCTATCTTTAGCTTTTATCTCATTGATACTTTCTAGTAGATCTGTTTCTAAATAATTTTTTTCCATAAATTTATTTTTTAAAACGTCGGCTTGTTCGTTAAAATTTTCTAATTCTGTGCAGTTTCTACGTAATCTTAGAAATTGGCTTTTTGGGGCACTATCAAGACATGGTTTATAGTGGCAGCTGTTTTGATCAATTACTGTATTAACACAGACTTTTTAACCCCTTAAGGACCAAACCTCTGGAATAAAAGGGAATCAAGACATGTCACACGTGATGTGTCCTTAAGGGGTTAAAGAAAGTTTTTGTATGAATTTTTCAATTTTTTATAAATATATTAAGATCTAAAAAGTTTATTTGTTCTCTACTGAATTCATGGGTTAAAATTATACCTTTATTGTTAGGATTAAGAACATTGATAAAAGAAATAAAGCTGTCTTCAGGTCCATCCCAAATAAAAAAAGAGATCATCTATGTACCTAAAATATGAGACCAGGTTTATGAGACATGGTTTATAGTGGCAGCTGTTTTTATCAATTACTGTATTAACACAGACTTTTTTAACCCCTTAAGGACCAAACCTCTGGAATAAAAGGGAATCAAGACATGTCACACATGTGATGTGTCCTTAAGGGGTTAAAGAAAGTTTTTGTATGAATTTTTCCATTTTTTTATAAATATATTAAGATCTAAAAAGTTTATTTGTTCTCTACTAAATTCATGGGTTAAAATTATACCTCTATTGTTAGTATTAAGAACATTGATAGAAGAAATAAAGCTGTCTTCAGGTCCATCCCAAATAAAAAAAGAGATCATCTATGTACCTAAAATATGAGACCAGGTTTGCCCTTAGGTTGTCTCCATCGTAAATGGCTGTGGATTCCCAATCAGCCATAAATAAATTAGCATAGCTAGGGGCAAACCTAGTACCCATAGCATTTCCTCTTTTTTGAAGATAAAAAGAATTTAAAAACCAAAAGTAATTGTTGTTCAAGATAATATTTATACCCTCTAAAATAAAATCTATCTATTTTACGGTTTCTGTAATTCCCTCTAGAGTCAGCAGCTTCTTAACTACCTCTTTGAATATGTATATTTTTGATTATAGAAATAATTATATCATTGATGTTGAAAATGTCTTTGACACAGAGGCTGTTAGCCCTATTCAGATTAATTATCCTAGCCTTAGCCAACAAGAATTATTTATTAAATTAGAGAGATCCCTTACTTCTGAAATAAAATTAAAATGGGAAATAGCTACCTTAAAGAACTACATCGATGAAAGAATCACCCCCCGAGGTTTAAGACTACTGAAATTACCTACCTCCGACCAAGATGACCTCGAATTCATGGAGGAATGGAATAATAAGCTAGAACTATGTACTCTTGGTTTAATGGAAACCCTAATAGTTAAAAAAGTAAGAGGTTATCAATTCTAGATTCAGAAATTAATAATCTGAGAGAAAAATTATTACCTTTTACAGAGACCCAAGCTTATAACCAAAATTGTATACTAATCCAAAGTAAAATTGAAAAGGTAGAGACAGACACAAGACATATTAAAATAAAAAAATACATGAGAGACAAAACAGACTATTCAAGTAAACAAGTACGTACTTATTTAAATAGAAGATATACTACACAAAACCACAAAGATCATCTTCAAACCCATAAACACTATATAAGGACAGATACACTTCCCCAAGTAAGAAAAACCACCACTAGCACCCGTCAACAAGACTATCACCAACATCAAAATCAATACCATAACTATGCCAATAGAAAACTCTCACAGTCACCCTATAAACATCAGCGATCACATAAACAACAAATTGATTCCTATTCTGGCCCTCTGGCCAAATCCCAATATCAGCCATTTCAAGCACTACCACACTACAAACAGAGACATATACACTCCTCACCACCCAGGAAATACCCCCACACCACACATTCATACAAAAGAGATTTTTCACCCAAACCCCAAAGATCTAGATACATAAACGATCGCACTGAGCATCCCAAATCACCCACTATTCCTCACCACTCAAATAGATACCAACTGTTGTCAATTGACTCTGAATTTGAAAATGAGGATCATTTTTTAGAGATCCGCACTCACCCAAGTACACTGAATCAAACACCTCACCCGTCACGATCACAAAAACGTATCCTAGAGAGAGAAAGACTAGAAAGACAAGCACCCAAAAGGATTCATGCAGTGGGATTTTTAATCTTTCACAAAAAACTCTTACCATTGCACAACTATCGGTTTTAAGCAAAGGCCTTAAGTTTGCCCCAACCAACCCTTTCAAATCCTTTGAAGCTTTTATTGACATTAATAAATTTGTCCGCAAAGCTACCTTAAAACGATATTTTAATGAAAAAAACTGAAGAAAGCTTAACTGTTAAAGATATAACTGTCAATAGCTCAATCCCACCTTCTTCCCCAAATCACGACAATCATGTTATTAACACACATTTTAAAGAAAAATCAAAATTTTATCCAGCTTTTATGAAAACTGCCCCACTAACAGTATTTGAGAAATTAGTTACTAATGACTTGGACAAACTACAGACTAAGAAAAAGACACACACAACTTAACAAAGAAAGGAAAGCACTCGAGTTACAAGATGATAATGACATTGTTATAAAACCAGCAGATAAAGGAGGAGGTTTGGTTATTTTATCTAGTGATATGTATATAGGAGAAGCACACAGACAATTAAACGGCACTGATGTCTATAACAAACTCCTATCAGATCCGACTAAGACTATTCAAAACATTTTATCCATTTTTTTAAACAAAGGTGTATCTCAAGGTAATTTAACCAAACATGAGTTTAATTTTTTAAACAAAAAGTTTCCAATAATCCCGGTAATCTCCTTTCTACCTAAAATACACAAGAATGCAACAAAACCTCCTGGCAGACCAATAGTGTCAGGTATAGGCTCGCTCCTTTGCAATCTTTCTCAGTACATAGACACTCTTCTCCAACCTGCCGTTAAAAAGATGAAGTCATATCTTCAGGATTCTATGTCCCTTTTAAACTTTTTAAATCATTTTAAATGGGATTCCAATTTTATTTTAGTCACCTGCGATGTCCAATCCCTTTATACAATAATACCCCACAACATTGGATGTGAAGCCATCAAAAACATTTTAACTAAAGAAAATAGGTTCTCCGAAAAACAGATTTTATTTTAGAGGGTATAAATATCTTGAACAACAATTACTTTTGGTTTTTAAATTCTTTTTATCTCCAAAAAAGAGGAAGTACTATGGGTACTATTGCCCCTAGCTATGCTAATTTATTTATGGCTGATTGGGAATCCACAGCCATTTACGATGGAGACAACCTAAGGGCAAACCTGGTCTCATATTTTAGGTACATAGCTCTCTTTTTTATTTGGGATGGACCTGAAGACAGCCTTATTTCTTTTATCAATGTTCTTAATACTAACAATAGAGGTATAATTTTAACCCATGAATTCAGTAGAGAACAAATACACTTTTTAGATCTTAATATATATATAAAAAATGGAAAAATTCATACAAAAACTTTCTTTAAAAAAAGTCTGTATTAATACAGTGATTGATAAAAACAGCTGCCACTATAAACCATGGCTTGATAGTGCCCCAAAAAGCCAATTTCTAATATTACGTAGAAACTGCACAGAATTAGAAAATTTTAACGAACAATCCAACGTTTAAAAAAAAAAAAATTATGGAAAAAAATTATTTAGAAACAGATCTACTAGAAAGTATCAATGAGATCAAAACTAAAGATAGAGATGAACTTTTAATATATAAACATAAAACTAAAAATGATTCCATATTCCTCCCTATTACTTTTAACTATAACAATAAAAGTAGAGAAATAAAAAAAGATTATTAAAAAACATTGGCATATTTTAGAACACGATGAAAAACTTAGTAAAATTATTCCAGAAAAGTCAAGTATAAATTTTAGAGGAGCCCCTAATTTTTTTATTTATTTTTTATTCTTTATTTGTGGTTCATTTTGTTTAATACAATGTGGTATACAGGATATGGGATACAGAAAAGAAATTGTGGCGGGGTAAAGAAAGGTATTGCACAGTTATACATTTATACAGTCCCATCCTTCCCTTTCATTTTTGGTCTTTGCGGTTACAATCACACAGTTACCCATTACATATGCGTGGATGACATAGGCTGGGGTCATATAGGTTGTTCAGTAATGGTCTCTGTCACTCCTCTGTGTTGCGTAACTCTGGTATATGGGGAGGGGTGTATGTGTTCGCTTAGGTTTACCCCAGTATAGGCCCTGTGGGGCTGTTATGATACCGTATGGGTGTCAATGTGCGGTCTACGTCATTATCCCTGTTTTCCTATCTCTCCGCTCTGCCCACCGTCCCCGTTGGCAATTCGTCTTTGTGGCTATATCGTCGTTTGCTAGTTCCATGAAGTTAGTTGTCTACAGTTGAACGTTTTCTCGGCGTTAAAGGACCACTATAGTGCCAGGAAAACATACTCGTCTTCCTGGCACTATAGTGCCCTGAGGGTGCCCCCACCCTCAGGGACCCCTGGAAAGGGGAAAAGGGGTTAAACTTACCTTTTTCCAGCGCAGGGCGGGGAGCTCTCCTCCTCCGATCCTCCTCCTTTCCTCCTCCTGGGCTGAATGCGCACGCGCGGTAAGAGCTGCGCGCGCATTCAGCCGGTCACATAGGAAAGCATTCAGAATGCTTTCCTATGGACGCTTGCGTGCTCTCACTGTGAAAATCACAGTGAGAAGCACGCAAGCGCCTCTAGTGGCTGTCAATGAGACAGCCACTAGAGGATTAGGGGGAAGGCTTAACCCATTGATAAACATAGCAGTTTCTCTGAAACTGCTAGGTTTATAGAAAAAAGGGTTAAACCTAGCTGGACCAGGCACCCAGACCACTTCATTAAGCTGTGGTCCTTTAAACTGTGTATTCTTCTGTCCTCGCATGGTTTCATGTGTTTCGGGGTGTGTGTGTCCCAGGGAAGAAAGGAAAGCATGTTCTGAGGCCTGTTTGTCCTGTGCAGGGGAAAAATAGTGGTACTAGGGCTAGGGGTGGTGGTCGAGGGGAAACCTTCCCCGAAGTGGGGTGTTTAAGGATGGGCAGTTAGGGTGTGTTGCGGCACGGTGCCCCAGCTCGGCACGCCCCCTAGAGTTAAGGAGTGAGCGGACTTAAGAGAGTTATCTCAGGGAGTTGGTTCTTTATAGTTAATTGAGAATGTCTACAACTGCGAGGTGTGTGCACCTGTATGAGTTAGAGTTGTATTTACCAGGGTAGAGAGGTATCCCCTTCCAGCCATGGGTCCCAGATTTTGTGAAAGTGTTTGGGCGTATCGTGGAGTTGGGATGTAAGCTTATCCATTTTCATGTGGTCCTGTATTTTTTGGGCTATAAGCAATTGTGAGGGTAGACGGTTTGTCGACCACAGTTCCGCTACTGCTCGCCTCGTTGCTGGGCGATACGCGCGCTGAGTTTGTTTTCTGCTCTGGTTAGGGTCTCTAGAGGTTTGGAGAGCAGTGGGGCCCATGGGTACAGTGCCTACACACAGTTTACACCTACTGGCAATATACACCTGGGGCCTCCCTATCATTCAAGGGGGGTTGTGTGGGAGGAGCGATGCCGAGGATGCCGAAAGCTAGCACACAGCACGACCAGACCACACCCCCATAAGGAATTGCAAAAACCCCAACAACGGGCCTGCAGGCAACTCCGGCTACCCGCCACTACCCACCAATCCACCACCAACTCTACCCCTTACGCCTAAGAAGCAGTCAGACGAACCACTCCACCACCTACTGGCAACGAGTAAGACCAGTAGCTTATGTAGGAGTTTCGTCAGTAATGTAGTAACGCTGAGCCATGAGGGTTTAATTTTGGGGCAGTTCCACCAACAGTGGAGGAATGTCCCCTGTTCTCCACAGAGTTTCCAGCAGGTGTTTGGTGTTTTGCGGATGATTGCTAGGCGTTGGGGGGTGAGGTATATCTTATATGCTTGTTCCGCATGTGTTACACAGATGGAGATCGCCGTTGCCTCCCATATATCTGCCCAGTCTGTGTTGTCCTCCGGGGGTCCTAGGTCTTTTTCCCAAGCCGCTATGTTTGACAGTGTTATTTGGGTGGGGTGAGTTGCCAGGATCGTGTAGAGGTCTGAGATTTGGCCTCGTCTGAGTGGGTGGTGTGTGCAGTCTTTCTCGAGTGTGGGCGTGCCTGCTTGTTGGATCATCGGGGTTGAGGCAAAACTGCGTAACTGAATGTATCGGAAGTGGTCAAACGCCGTTAGAGTGTCAGCGTCTTTGATTTCCGAATATTGAATTACCTTATTGTTCTGATACAGGTGGCTGAGTCTTACAATGTCTCTTTGGTCGAACTGGGAGAAGTTGACTGGAGTGAGCCCTGCTGGGAAAAGTTTGTTCCTCCATATCGGGGTCATTGGAGAGAGAGATGAGGACAGATCGAATTTATCCTGCAATCTGTCCCATAGGTCTAAAGAATGAGTAATGGCTGGGGCAGTTGGGGGGGAACCCACATATAGAGGGATGGGTGATCTTTGCCAAAGATTGTGTTCAATGTCCACCCATCGTTTGGTTTGTGGTGGGGCGTGCCAATGTTGAATCTGGGCTAGTTGTGCAGCTGCATAGTAGTGTGAGAAGTTTGGTAGCCCGAGGCCTCCATGTTTTTTGGGGATGTAGAGTGTGTTCCTACTAACTCTGGGTTTGTGTCCGCTCCATATAAATTTGTCAACCGCCGTTTGTAGGGTTTTGAGATGGGCTTTGTGGGGAGGTACGGGCAGCGTCTGAAAAAGGTATAGCAGTCGGGGGAGTAAAGTCATTTTGACAGACGCCACCCGGCCCAGCCAGGAAACACCCAGCGTCGCCCATTTTTGCAGGTCGCTGTGTGCGATGCGAAGTAACGGTGTATAGTTTTTCGCATATAAGGTGGTTAAGTCGGCTGGTAACTGGATTCCCAAATAGGTTATGGCTGTGGGGCATATTCGGAATGGGTATTTGCTTTTTAGGGCGTTTAGTTGTGACTCGGAGAGCTGGATGGGTAGAATTTCTGATTTTCCCAGGTTCAACTTGTATCCTGCGACCAATGCGTATTCGTGTATGGTTTTTAATAGGGCATCTATGGAGTGGTCCGGGTTGGTTAGTGTTAGGAGAATGTTGTCTGCATAAGCAGACACCGTATATTGTTCGCCCCTGATAGTTACTCCTTCTACATGAGGATTGTTACGAATTGCTTGGAGTAAGGGTTCTAACGATATGGCAAAAAAAGGGGCGATAGTGGACTCCCTTGTCATGTGCCATTTGATATTGGGAATCTGGGCGGTGTGATGTTGGGAAGCAGGAGGGCTCTTTGAGGAGAGTAGTATGTTGCCTGCAAAAACGCGAGAAATGAGCTCGGGAAGTTCATGTGTTCTAGTGTGCGGTAGAGGAAGGGCCACAGTAGGCGGTTGAACGCCTTTTCGGCGTCTAGGGAAATCACTGTGGTAGGAATTTTGCGGTGTTGAGTGAGCCATATAAGATCTATGTTTCTGCGTGTATAATCTAATTCTTGCCTATTGGGAATGAAGCCCACTTGGTCGGGGTGTATTAATCTGTCTAGGTATGGGTTAATTCTATTGGCCCTCATCTTGCTCATGATTTTGAGGTCTACATTAAGTAGGGAGATGTGTCTATAGTGCTCGGGTTCCTTGAGGTTCTTGTTAGGTTTGGGGAGTAAGCAAATGTTTGCCGTCGTCATGTCCTGTGGGAGGTGGTCGCCTCGCAGGGTAGCGTTGAATACGGCACAGAGGTGTTTGAGGAGTAAGGGGCTAAACTCTTTGTAGTAAAGAGCAGTGTACCCATCTGGGCCCGGGCTTTTGTTAGGTTTGCAAGCCCCGAGGGCTGTTGCCATCTCCTCCACTGTCGCCTCTGCTTCTAAGGCTTGTTTGGCGGCTTGGGATATGGTAGGTAGGGTTATGTGTTTGAGGTTGTGACAAAATTCCATATTGAACAAACTATGTGAACCAGCTCATTCGGCTATTTAGATGCGTATAGGGTGATTTCGTGCAAATAGCGAGAAAAACGAATGAACTGCCGAACCACCGACCTCCTACTGATGTCGTGTGGCGCCTGTTAACCACCCAGACTTTGCGGTTAACCGCAGACTAATTGGGGAATAGCTTGGTGGTCCGCGTTCGTCTACCGAACACGTGGCAAACGCCATTTTGGATTGTCGAACGCCCAGCTGTAAATGGCGGCGATGCCCTGGAACTAATTTCGGATACTTATTTTGTCGAACACTGCTGCTACCTCTCCAGGTCCTCGTTCATACGGGGGAAAACACACGAATGCTGGAGACCCTACACCATTCGTGCGTTGGATGTATGCGAAAAGGACTGACCCCAGATAGCTACAGTGTGGAACTTGTTGGCGGTTACAAACACACGAACGGCCGGTGAAAGTCAAACTTCAGTCAACGTTTTTGAGAACTGTGTTCGTGGGATCTGAGCGCTTTTTGCCTAGAATATGCACTCAGATCCAAGCTATCTGGGGGTATGTGGGACTTACAGTTTAAGTCATGTAAAATGAAAGTTATAAATTTTTATTCTGTTTGATGAATAATAAGAAAAGCCATGTTTTTTTCTACCTGGAGATAATTAAGGCTCTCTTTGCTACCTTAAGTTAATTATCTCCAGGATGGAAAAGAGGGAGTGATTTATGTAAAGGGGAGTGCTTATGTTATAGCCACTGTGATTGGCTACTGTGATACTTTTGTCCCAGTCTTCCATCTGGTCCCTTAGGGGAGTGTGCACCAGGTGGGAGACCTCCATAAATACGGGGCAGGTAGCCCACAGTAAATCAGATCGTTTTACCCCTTCATGAAGTCTCGACTCATGTTTGGGGGATTGGGAGTTATAATCACTTAGTTTCAGCTGGATTTCCGGAGAAGCTGCAAGGATCATCGCTGCACGAATAGAAGGATCCTTTACAGAGGTAATTATCTAGCTGTTCCCTGTAGACTGTGGAGTCTTGGCCGAGGTGTGGTGAGTGGTTATATAGGGATTCGAAGTAGTGTTGGAATGTGTCACCTATCTGTTCGGGTAGGTCGCTGATTGAGCCTGTCCTCGTGCGTATAGATGATATTTTTTGGGCTTCTATGCATTTTTTAAGCCGATGCGCTAACATGGTGTTGGCTTTATTGCCTGATTCATAGTATTTTTGTTTGAGCAACATTAAGGATTTGGTTGTGTCCGTGTGCATTAGTTGTTTGAGGAGGTCTCTAGCGGCAGTAAGTTCGCGGTCAGTAACTCGGTCAGTGTCTCCGTGATTTGCTGTGTCTTCCTTTTTTTAATGGGCTGACGCTAGACTAATGAGAGTGCCTCTGACCATGGGTCACAATGTTATTGGGGACTTGGCGGATTCCGCGTTTGTAGTGAAGTAGTCATTGATGGTTTTGGCGACTGAGAGCCTGATTTGAGTGTCATGGAAGAGCAGTGGGTTTAGTTTCCAAGACCACAGTCTTTTTAGGTCTCCCAGTTCAGGTCCGACCTCAGCCTCTCCGTGTGGTGCGTTAGCAGGTGGTGGGCTAGGTGGTTGGGAGGCTGATGCCCTGGCCGGGGCCCCATGCCGCGACTTTGGAGTGGTAGGGAGGGTATGGGGTGGGAGGGAGGGTGTGGGGTGAGAGTGGTAAGAGGGAGGGCAGGGCGCAAGGGTGGGGTTTTGTTAGTAAGGGCCCTGGGGGGCCAAGCTACTGGTCTTACTCGTTGCCAGTAGGTGGTGGAGTGGTTCGTCTGACTGCTCCTTAGGCGTAAGGGGTAGAGTTGGTGGTGGATTGGTGGGTAGTGGCGGGTAGCCGGAGTTGCCTGCAGGCCCGTTGTTGGGGTTTTTGCAATTCCTTATGGGGGTGTGGTCTGGTCGTGCTGTGTGCTAGCTTTCGGCATCCTCGGCATCGCTCCTCCCCCCCCACCCCCCTGAAGGATAGGGAGGCCCAGAGGAGGCAGAGAGAGGCCCCAGGTGTATATTGCCAGTAGGTGTAAACTGTGTGTAGGCACTGTACCCAGAGTCGGTCGTCGGTATGGAAGTATCAGTCGCTCCGGGAGGCAGTAGTTTTTAACATGTCTGTCGTCTCATGTATCAGTTGTCGTCGTTGCTTAGTGACCGTAGGGTGTGGCGTCCAGCTGAGTGGTCTTGTCTCTGCATGGAATAAACAGGAATCACATATACAATAACAATAAGCAGTATTATGTCTAGGTCAATACTGTTCAAGAGCATTAAAATAGCAATACAGTTGTGTTCCCGGTGCATATAAAATGACATTTAGATCTCAGTTAGAGGTGCTCTGCCTGTTCATATGCCGGGGGTTATTATTACAATGCCACCTCTAGCATGGTTCCCATCAGTTTTGTGCTGCATTTAGATATCAGTATATATTGACGCTTCCGCTGGTGCATTGTTACCTAGCCTGCTCATATCACATGAGTTGTATGTTCCCGGTATGGTATATAGTGCCTTAGTCTGTGGAAGCGATGTAATGTCGAGGTGGGTGACCACAGGCCTCGGTGGCATGTGAGTCCTATGTATGATTTGGCTTAGACATATGTGTCGTGCTGCTGGCTGATAATATGTGTATGGTTGGTTCTGTTGAGTCTTATCATGTTTTTGTTTTGTTGTGCATTTTTCTTTTTTTTCTTTTTTTCTTTATAAGTTCCTTTCCCCGATTATCTTTTTTTTTTTTTGGGTGCGTTTTTCCATCTTTTCTCCTGTTCTCCCCTCTTTTTTCTTCTTTTTTGTGTTTTGTGTTGTTTTTTTTTGGTATTTTTGTTATATGTCCCCCCTCCTCCTTCTCATTGTTTGCGTGTCCCCCTCTTTGTATGTTCCCTATTTGTTGTCTCGTCTCCCCTGTTCCTACTTTCTTGTACCCCCCCCTCCTGTGTTAGGGGACCAAAGGAGATGGCAGGGAGTTTGGCCCCTTCTGTATCGCTATGTAGGGGGTAAGGATGTTATGTTTGCAACTCGTGTCGTGCGTGTGTGGGGGCCTACGGTGTGTGCAGATGAGTGAAAGCAAATTTACAGCAAAATCATAAGAAAAATTAAAAAATGAAGGAAAACATTATGGCTAATAGAGTCTTATCGGTCAGTCGGATGGTGGAAAATGCCGTATGTCGTCGGTCTGTCGGGATCCTGAGAGTCCTGGTTGTTCAGAGTTCAGTGTCCTTGGGTACGTGAGTGGATGAAGTCCATGTCGGAACGCCGAAGTCTGGTGAAGCTGTACGTGTGGTGTTGGTCTGCTGGCTAGCGGTGGTTAATCTCAGGCATCTGGGTTCGGGTCTCCCGTGGGCGGGTGGCGTCGTTGGTGATCCATGTCAGCTCTTCGGGTTGGGGAGGTAGGGGCCATGTTGAGCACCTCACTGTTGTTGCTGTTGTTTGCATCCACAAAGTGTATGCCCAGCTGCTCTGCAAACCTGTGTGCTTCAGCGATATCGTGAAGGGTATACGTGTGATTGTTTCTTCGCACCATGAGTTTAAATGGGTGCCCCCACACATACCTGATCCTTCTCCGTGTAAGTGCCTGAGTAAGTGGTCTCAGCTCTCGTCGCTTTCGTAGGGTGCTAGGGGCCAGGTCCTGGAAGAACAGTACCTGGTGTCCCTCAATTTGGAGGGGTGTATCTCGCGCAGCTCTCATGATGGCTTCTTTAATGTGATAATAATGGAGCCGCACTATCACATCCCGTGGTCGTGTCATTCCAGTGATGGGGGCCCGCAGTGCTCTATGGGCACGATCCAGGAGCAGTCCAGCTTGGGACTCCATGCCTATATATATTATTCCGCCGTGAGTGATTGTTGAGGTCTTCTTGGGCATCCTCAAGCTGTTTAACTAGTTCCCTGAGGTCTTGGATAGCCTGCTTGTGGGTGTTTGCCCTGGAGGAGGTGGCGGCCATCTTGTCCTCCAGGGAGCTGGTGCGATGCACAAGGTCTGTCAGGCCTGCCCGCAGGGGTGCCAGGTGTTTATTGAATTCTGCCACCATATTCGCCTTGATCTCGTGTAGCAAGCCACGGAGGTCATCTCTCGTGATGCGATTTGCATTGCGATGGCTCATATTGCTGGCTGTGGAGTCGGAATCGGATTCCCTTTGTTCCTCCGTCCGCTGCCCTTCCTCCGGTGCGCGGGATCGGAAGATCGGCGCCTCCGCCGACCCCTTTGTAGATTTGCGCCCGCTGCCCATATCCTCGGGTGCA